TGTTTGGCAACGCTGTCGGCAACACCTGGCTTCTCCACCTCGGCACTGCCCCCGGACTGGGAGTCCATCTTGGAGACCGTGGCGTTGCTGGCCMCAGAGCTGGCCCCCAGGGAGACGGGCAGGGCGGGAATGCCGCCACTCTGGATCACAGAGATCTCGTTGTTCTTCACGGCCAGGCCGCCATTGAGCACGCTGGTGTACTGGTTCCACACGACAGGGACAGGGTCCACACGTACCGAGGGTGCCAGGATCTCTTTGGGAAATATTTCGGAGACTCTCTTTCCATCCGTACCCAACAGGGCCATGGTGTTCTCGATGGCCAGCTTCCTCCCGCGGCGAGCTGAGTTATTGTTTGCCCCATGTGTCATGTAGTGGACCTGCGGACAGGACAGAGTTTCTTAGCAAATATTCCTCTGCTCCCCAGCAAGACCAAACCAGCCTGCATGTGGCTTTGGTTCTACCCAACCGAGCGTCTCTCAGTATGCTTTTTTTATTTAGGAAGTAGATTATATAAAATAAAAATTCAAATACTGGGTAAAGGGGAAGCAAAGATCTGGCAGTATCTGGCCAGCACTCTTGCCTAGAGAGACCAAGGCAATGCCTAGACTCTTGTCTCTGTGTGTGTACTTATTCGAACACCTGCTACATGCCAAGCACTGTTCCAAATGTCAAGGTCAATATTTGTCCTATTCMGCTTGTAATCCCAGTGGCTTGGGAGTTGGGAGGCTGAGGCAAAAGGATCACAAGTTCAAGGCCAGCCTCAGCAATTCAGCAAGCCCCTCAGCAACATACGGAGACCCTGTCTCAAAATAAAAAGTGCTAAAGATGTGGCTCAGCAGTTAAGTTGCCCTGGATTCAATTCCTGGTACCATTAAGAAACAATAACAACAACAACAAAAACCAAGGCCTTGGGTTCTATCCCCAGCACTGGGAAAAAACAAAACTGAAATCTGGTTGGGAAAGCCACAGAAGGCCATGTTGAGAAGGAGATGCTATTCAATGTAAGTCTTCCTAAGGAAAGACCCTACTACCTGTCCCCTGGCTTTTCTTCAACCTGGATGCTTTCCATAATTATTTCTCCTGCCTGCCCTTCAAGTTTTCGAATATTTTTTTTAGCTTCTTTAAAAGTTTAAAAAGCCTTGCTCGAGATATCAGGTTTCTCAGGCACTCAGTGCATCTTTACTGACACCCTGGAGACCAGTGGCCACCCCATGGTGCGGAACAGAAGAGGCTGCTTGTGCATCACTAGCAGCGGCTCACTGCTGTTGCTAGCAGTGACTGGGAAGGCTCTAGTTAAGAGCACTTGGTCTTGCTCCAGGACAACCCTGGAGTTCATCATTACCACCATCCAGGGCAGCCAGGGAGACCGAGTCACAGCAAGCCACCTGCCCAAACAAGCCAGGGGCTTATGCACTGATGAATCCTTATAGTTCTAGGTGTCACAAGAGGCTGCCACTACATATTCCTACCACAAAGCTTTTACCAACTGGATTTACATAATTAAAATAGAGAACGCCTTTTAGGTCAACTTTAAGATGAAGTTTTGACTTTTATTTTAACCATAAGGAAATGAACCCATCTACTTGTGAGGTGGGAAAGAAAGATCCAGAGGGATGCACATTGCTCAGGGCTATACAGAAAACCAGAGGTGGGGCCAGGTGGAAAACCCCAGAGCCCTCTTCCATCTGCAGGACACTTTCACCCTTCACAGGGGCAGCTCCTCCTAACAGCAGTAATAGCMCAGACCACTCTCTGGAAGGA